TTGGTACAAATAGTTAACTATGAAAGAAAATTCTATGATCCTCATGAGAAACGTGTGGTCTTTTCTTTACGCCATCAAAAGTGCGCGAAGTCACAGATCCTTTAAATATCCAAAATAATTAAAATAATTTAACTTAATTAATGTGGCTGTTATTTTATCGTTAAGTTGTAGAAAATTGTTAAGGGTTTTTTTTTGTTTTTTTTCGAATTTCATTAAATATCGTAGATAGATTATTTCCTGCTTAACCTTAAAACCGCTTGTGGCGCCATAAATATTTCTTGTTTGTACTGTAAAGACGATCACGATGGTTGCTTGTTTATTTAACTAATCGATTCTTGTAAAAAACGTTATTTGTTTAAGACAACCGCGAGGAAATGTTTTTCTATTATTATACATTTGTTTGTTTGTTTGTTTGTTTTGAATTTCGTGCAAAGCTACGCGAGGACTATCTGCGCTAGCCGTCCCTAATTTAGCAGAGTAAGACCAGAGGGAAGGCAGCTACTCATCGCCACCCACCGCCAACTCTTGGGCTACCCTTTTACCAACGAATAGTGGGATTGACTGTCACATTATAACGCCACCACGGCTGAAAGGGCGAGCATGTTTGCGTGAGACGGGGATTCGAATCCGCGACCCTCAGATTGCGAGTCGAGCGCCCTAACCACCTGGCCATGCCAGGCCTATTATTATTGCCCCCAAGTGACACAGCGGCATGTCTGCGGGCTTATACTGCTGGAAACCGGGTTTCGATACCCGTAGTTGGCAAAGCACATATAGCCCTTTGTGCTTAATAACAAACAACATACATTATTATTCTATTTTCAATTTAAAAATGAACTATTGCAGGTGAGAATTATTACAATGCCGACAACTGTTTAATTTTTTTACCCCGGATAACATATCTAATTTTTGACACGGTTTTAATTTACAATTCTCAGAAAAATTCTGGAAAAAAAACAAAAACAAATCAAAATACGCAGTCCTATTACATTACATTCCGGGTCCTGGCAAAATATGGCACATTTCAGCTTGTTTCCTTTCTCTAACAAGGCGGCACAAGTCCTGTAATTGTAAGACGTTTATCTTTCTTACAGGTTTTCATCATCATGAGACTGTCTGACCAGAATAGATCTCCCATCATCTACAGAATCTGTTACCTATATTATGATAATGTTACCTTATTGACGTACAATTGCCAGTACTTGTGTTTTATTATGTAACAGTCTTACCAACCATCTGTTTTCATTAGGAGAACGCCCCCCCCCCATGGTACAGCGGAATGTATGTGTACTTACAACGCTAGAAACAGGGTTTCGATACCCGTGGTTGGCAGAGCACAGATAGCTCATCGTGTAGCTTTGCGCTTAACTTCAAATAAACAAACATAATAATGATATTAATTTATTGATATAATTGTAAAATTGCCAGTATTGGTGTTTTATTATGCGACAATCTTACTGGTATAAGTGTTTCATTATGATGATACTAACTTATGGGTGTGATTGTAAGCTTATTCGTGTTTTATAATTACGATACTAACTTATGGGTGTAATTGTAAGCTTATTCGTGTTTTATAATTACGATACTAACTTATGGGTGTGATTGTAAGCTTATTCGTGTTTTATAATGATGATACTAACTTATGGGTGTACTTGTAAGCTTATTCGTGTTTTATAATTACGATACTAACTTATGGGTGTGATTGTAAGCTTATTCGTGTTTTATAATGATGATACTAACTTATGGGTGTAATTGTGAGCTTATTCGCGTTTTATAATGATGATACTAACTTATGGGTGTGATTGTAAGCTTATTCGTGTTTTATAATGATGATACTAACTTATGGGTGTAATTGTAAGCTTACTAGTTAACATGTTTTATAATTACGGTACTAACTTACGGTGTAATTGTAAGCTTATTCGTGTTTTATAATGCTAATACTAACTTATGGGTGTAATTGTAAGCTTATTCGTGTTTTATAATGATGATACTAACTTATGGGTGTAATTGTAAGCTTATTCGTGTTTTATAATGATGATACTAACTTATGGGTGTAATTGTAAGCTTACTGGTTAACATGTTTTATAATTACGCTACTAACTTATGGGTGTAATTGTAAGCTTACTAGTTAACATGTTTTATAATTACGCTACTAACTTATGGGAGTAATTGTAACTTTGTTCCACTTCCTTTAGGCAGATATTTCAATTTAACAAATTTCCGTTTGACGCCAGTTCTAGAACTATCCATAATCACTTTCACCCACGTGTTTTCGTGATCGCTTTGCTAGTGTTGTTATTGGTGTTGACATGTGCTGACAAAACTGACAAATTATACTCGCGTGCATTTGTCCACAAAAGACTTTTTCACGAAAGTCCAGTCGTAAGAATATTTGAATATTTTACACAAGAGTATCTTAAGAAGTATTAAATATTTAATAAAATAAAAGTAATTTCACGCTTCACTCTCTGATTCCATGTTATATCTATATGTCGACGTGCGTATGTGTGCGGTTTGTACCTGTTGTCAGTCCATACAATCAAACATCGTACTAAACAAGTATAATACATCATCTATATTCATTTGAAAAATCTACAAGTTGGGCAGCGTTTGCTGACTGTATTACATTCCCACAAATATCCCTAGTTGAGGTAAGATATGATGTACACAATCTATCATAAGTTGTTGTTTTTTATTATTCCTGGACTGAGAGAACGAATGATGTATATTACATTTATTCTAAAGTTTTTGCTTTTTCTGAAACGAAATGTAAAAAAAAATAAAATAGCAAGATTTTCTTTCAATATTTTTTCAAACTTTCTCAAAGAAAGAAGCTTGAAAATAGATAAAGAAACAAAGCTTGCTCACTGTGGCCAAAGTGTTTTTTATACAGAAGAATTATCGAGTAAAAAGTCAATATTACAAAAAGTTTTTTCATTTGTATATCTCGCAAATTGTTTTCTGTTTTTAACAGTGAATTATGTTCTACAAAACATTAGAGATATTTTCTCAAGTTTTTTCTATACTTGCAGCCGAATCATTTCACGATGTAACGTAGTTTTTTATCTAAAATTAAAACTATGAACCGAGTTAAGAAACTAAACTAAAATTATGTCGGTATTATAAGGTGTAAAACAAGATTTCAACCACATGTTTATCGTAGTGTTGTTCATACCCAAAACAAAGCTTTGCATTTCTCT